TATTTGTGGTACTGCCGTGTTCCTTTGAGTACTTTGTGGCTTTTGAAAGGTGAAGTTCTGCTGTTTTAAAGTAAAAGTATCTAATAAAAGTGTGACGTCAGCGAGCGACAAATGAGAAGCATCAGAACAAACGTCAGCCTTTCTCTGTGTGTCAGCCTCCTGCGCCGCGTCCCTCCGGCGAGGCCTCGCGCGCCCGGCGGCAGCCGCTCTTCCGGAACGAGTGGGCGGCGTGGAGCGGCTGGTCCGTGTGCTCGCGGAGCTGCGGCAGCGGCGCCTCGGTGAGGACGCGCACCTGCATCACCAGGTGAACCCAGATAACCGCCCATCAGAAACCAGTCGCTACGTTTACAGGTTGTCAGGCGAAGTACGTTTAAGCGCTAAAGCTCCTACCGAGTCGCTTCGTCGTCTCCGTCCAATCAGCTGTGTTTTGTTCCCAGGAACCCAGCGGGGGGGCCGTGCTCAGGAGATCCCAGACAGTACAGGATCTGCAACACCAAGGTCAGGATGATAACTAGAGAGCGTGGCGGGTTGTTGGCGTGCGGGGACTCTGCGATTTGAGTCGAGCTGCAGGCAGGCCGCCACTGGGTGTGTTTGGAAAGCCGGTCGCTGCAGCCTCTTTGAGCGTGCGTGTGTGTGCGCGTGTGCGTGTGCGTGTTTTTGTCAATGAGATTCATGACTCTGCTGCAGCTTGTGGTATGAACGTTTAGTGCGGATGAAATGTGATCACTGCAGCCTCTGTGCACTCAAGTGAATTCCTTTCTTTTAGGGTTGCTGTGTGAATCCTTGTATATATATACATATAGTATATATCAGAGGGGTATCGGTCCGTGAGATGCCGGAGGGTTGAGGTTGACTCCACGTGGAACTGGAAGAGGCAGATTTTAGTCGTGAAAATTACAATTTTGATCCCCCTAAACCAGTGGTTCTCAACTGGAGTCACTCACGGCTTCCTGCGCTCACGAGCACAGAATGTACGTTTCTATCTGTTGTGAAACTTTAATGAGAGACGCACAATAAATCTTTCATGAAGTGTCACAATTTGTTCAAGTGCTCGTTTGGTCGTTGAGGGACCGTTGGGGAGTTTAGTGCTACCAATGATGGCAAAAACACTGGCCGGGTGTTATGGTGAAATTACATTTTGTGGCATGGAGGGATTCCAGCAACTCGGTACAACGTCCTCACAGAGTGTGTGTGTGTGTGTGTGTGTGTGTGTGTGTGTGTGTGTGCGTGTGCAGGAGTGCCCCCCCAGCTCAGAGGATTTCAGAGAGATGCAGTGTGCTGCCTTCAATGACAGACCGCTGGTGGCTGGAAACTCCTTCCAGTGGACCACGTTTCATGGAGGGTGAGAAGTGAAATAAATAACTGTTTCCTAATCGTTTCTAGTCTTTGTTGTATGTCTTTCTCTTGTTAGCTCGGGCATCATGAGAGGGAAAATGACTTCTGATCTTGTTTAAGAAGATTTTTGTAAAAGCACCTTTTACCATGGAACTGCTCCATGACCTGTTTAATGCTCTTAATGCCCCTGTGTGAACTAATGAATGTGCCCCCCCCCCCTGCAGGCTCCAAACCCTGTGAGCTGAGCTGCCTGGCGCTCGGTCACAACTTCTACTACAACTTTGGCCGCGTGCTCGATGGCACGGCGTGCAACACGGAGCCCGGAGCCGTGTGTGTCAACGGCCGCTGCCTGGTGAGTGGACACCACACCAACACGTGTGTGTCTGTGTGTGTGTTTGTGTGTGCGCGTTTTTTCCATATTGCATTTGTATATTAATGGTAATCTTTTTCATTTAATGAACGCAGGAGGACAAGTTATGAGCGTTACATTTTACTGCTAGTTTTCAAAGCAAGGGATGCTGTAGGGCGGGGCTTACTGTGATTGACAGCTCACTAACAGGTCCCTTCCTCTCCCTGAGGTGTGAGTGACATCCAGCCTTTCATCTGTCTCCCCCGTCCGTCCCCTCGAACAGACAGGGACAGCTGGACACGCAGAGCAATGAGATACATGCGTGACGCTCCGCAGACACGCGTGTCCCCGCGAGGGTGGACAGAGGATTGGTGCATGTCTGTGCACACACACACACACACCTCTCTATACATAGATGTGTGTGTGTGTGTGTGCAGGGTAGGACATTCACATATTACTTCGGGGTACTTGGGCAGTTTTTGCCCCCACTGACTGAAAACCAGGGGCAAGAATTCTTTTGAAACTTGTGAAATAAAATGTAACATTTGTTAAAAATAATAAATATATTTATTGCGTTTGTCATCAATGGGCAGCAATGAGACTATCAGGCAGTCGTCTAAAGGTTCAACGAGTTTCTTAGATTTTTTTTAACCAAAATGAACATAAATTAGACACAATTTTATTTTTATTTCTTTGTAGTTTCTCGTGTTTCGCAATATGTGAAGCAATGTCACACAGCGTGACCATTCTGCACAACGCTGCGTCCATTCACAGCTTCACCGCTGGTTATCCGGCTCATTACTTCATGCTTCTGTAAGAACAACACATCTCAACAAATGAGTCCCAGCTAATTGTATTTTACCCAAATAGAGGCTGTTAATCACAAGAAGGCAGTAACGTATGAGGAGGAGAAACATCTCTCACTGAACGTTAGCTGGCTAGCTAGCCTTCGTAGCTAACGTTAGTTAAATAGCTAATCACAGCAACGTTAGCTAACTAACTTAACGTTAAATCATTTCAGGAGACTGAATACTTCGTTATCACTCGCCGTATGCGGTGGAACGTTGCTCGCGGCCGTCCGGTGACGGAAGGACCTCATGTTTTCGCTCCTCTTGGTGAAGTCAGTAGAAGGATTCGCGGTGCTGGTCGACAGAGACGTTGCTAGAACTTGTTGGTACAAAACGGGCTCTCAAGTGTCGCTCATTTCGGTCACTAGTCGAGCGCTCCAGCCACACATCCAATTTCTCACGCGTTGGTTGGCCTTGTTGTGTGTCTTGTGTGTGTGCGTGTGTGTGTGTGTGTGTGTGTGTACGTGTGCGTGGCGTCCACACGTGGCTTATGGTTCTCGGAGAACACGGGCCTGAAACAGGAAGCAGATGCGGGCTGCAGCTGGCTGGCGAGTCGCAGGTCCCATGTTGAGGTCCCCAAACACACACATTGCACATCCGTGTGTTTGGTTGTGTTAGTGTGTGTGCATGCACTAACAATGTGTGTTTATTTTCAGTTTCCAACGCTTCATGTGGGAGTTTGTTTGATTGCTAATTATGCAAATTCAATTTTACGACCATATATCACAGTGTCAAAGAACAGTGCGACGTCAGCAGCTGGTTGGTGGAATAAACGACACACAGGAAATGTCAGAGGTTCTACAGGGATTTGGATCATGATACAACTTTGGTCGGAACCTAATCGGTCACGAGAATCATTGCAGTTCACACTTGAGGGACGTCGAATATCTGCAATAAATTATTCTGCTCTCCGCTTGCAGCTGCTCAAAGCCGCTAGAGATCAGTTGAGTCTGAATGTGACGACCTGAAGGAATGCAAGCCTGAGTGTTTTACAGGTCCCTCAAAGGGGCCCTCAGAGGGACCTCCACAGGGACCTTCAGAGGGACCTCCACAGGGACCTTCAGAGGGACCTTCAAAGGGACCTCCACGGAGACCTCCACAGGGACCTTCAGAGGGACCTTCAGAGGCTCCCCTATCTGACCTCCTCCCTGAGGTTTCATTTCCTGTGGTGCCCATCGGGGTGTTTCTAAGGAGCTTAGGGGCTGATTGCGGGTCCCTCCAGGTCTCGATGGTTGCCGCCCAGCTTTGGGAACCTTTGACGGCTTTGAAGACTTCCCCTCCTCCACTCTTGAGGCCCTTTAGCGCCGTCTTTAAATCCCAAAGTAGATGTTTGTGAGAAGCTAATAAGGGATGGCGTGATTTGCGCGGGTTTCAAAGTGACTGCGGTGGAGGAGAAAACCTAAAGGAAAAAGGTAATTTTCCACGGCTCTGGACACATTAAACATACGTGTGTGTGTGTGTGTGTCACGCAGAAGCCCGGCTGTGACTCCATCCTGGGCTCAGAGCAGCGTGAGGACGCCTGCATGGTGTGTGGAGGACTAAACACCACCTGCCTGCACCACAGGAGCGTGTACCAGAGCAGCCGTCAGGAGGCAGGTAGGATCACATCACCTCCACCTTCTGTGGCAGCGGCTCCACATCAAGCACGCCCCCCGGGGGGACGCTTCCCCGACGTTATTAGTCATTTCGAGTTTGGACCGAGACGGCATTGTTCGCCGAGGGGACTGAGAGGTAGCCACGGCAACCGTACGCGCCGTAAAAAACCCGTTGGCCGCCGTCCAGGAGCAGATTCAGCTCAACAACACGTCCTCCGAAATTACACTCGTTAAGATTTCAGTCTGCGGGCCGGATGCCAGCAGAAGCTTCTCCACCTGCAAACATGTGGAGGACATTAAGCTTCTCTGTGCAAAAAGAAGGTTATTTACAGAAAGTGGAGCATGACGGAACTTTACAGGCAAACAAACTGCGACTGAATTGAAAGATGCAACAAAATAAGGAGAAGAAACAGTTTGGTGTCGAGCATTAGAGGCCAACTTCGACGTTATCTCTTCCTTTGGGATTTGTGTTTCAAGATGTTATTTAGAATAACCACCCCTGTTTACACATATCCACATATCCGACCGCCATCCAGTCAGGCCGGCTGCCCAAACATGCGATAGGAGCATCCCAGGCAAAAAGCAGGCTGATAAAGGCCGCTTTGTTTGGGCGACTCCCCAGACTTTGTGTATTTTTCCCCCCCTCTCAAACCCAGCAGTTTCCCAGCCGAGGGAGAGAGCCGGTGCACAAAACAATCCCTCCTCGCGAGGTCGACCGGCGGCGGCCCGGAGCTCTTAACTCTTGAGTTAATGGCAGCGCTGCGTCTTCATGATGCCAAAGGCCCCGCGAATAGTTCCTCGCTGAGACGGGTAACCAGGGGGCAACCGAAGTTACCCGCCGGCGTGAAGGGAGTCCGGTGGACACGTTTCCCCCCCACCCCCCCCGGAGGAGAAACGCCCCGCTGTGATGGACGGTCGTAGAGAGAATGTCTCGTAAAAAACAACCCGATGACGTTCAATCATTGCTGATTTTAGATCTCGTTATGGTTTTATAATACATAAGTTACAGAAGACTTATCAGTTACTGGTGGTGATTTAATGTGCAGTTCAGAGATGAACCCAGAACATAAAGTACAGCATGTATTTACTTTTATGTGCGTCCCTTCATTGAGACAAATGCATCCACAGCGTAAAGCAAGTTCAACCTGACGGACTTAAATGATTGTGCGACACTAACTTTTGATTTAAACTGCTTCAAAAAGTGAACTTTTAAAGCCACCCGAGGCTCTTCCTCCTCTCGGCTCGCTCCGTGAAGCTGTTTTCCACTGTGTCCCTGGATTGTGATAAAAACAGACGTTTCCTTTAATCATGTGAGTCATGTGAACCTCTTATTACCCGCTAACCGAGTGTTCTTTTCTGCCAGGCGGCCTTTTGGGATCACAGAAGGGGCATTATTCCCGGCTGGGGCCCCTTTATCTCGGTTCACCGTTACCGGCAGAAAACTTGGGGGTGGGACCAGCCTGTATTCCCACCCTGGGTCCCCCCTTTTTCATTTTGGGTTTTTGGGGGAGAAGACCCCCCCCCCCCCCCCCCCCCCGGCGCCACCGCCTCAGGGCGGCAGTGTAGATCGAGTAGTTAAAACAGCTCCTGGTCGTGCAATAACCTCCTTCTCCCCGGAGACAGGGGAGCCTCGGCGGCCCCTCTGGTCTCTGGTTCCGCTGTGGGAGTTTTCCAGGCAGCATAATTACCAAGGGTATCTATTCTCATCCTTGTTTATGGGACCAAAATATAATGGCTCTGTGGTCTTGGGAAAGCTAGTAAAGGCTTTATGTGAGCGCTTGGGCGAGGCAGGTGGAGGTGCTCGTTTCCATTTCGTGTCATGGAAAATCCCTGAGCCTTATATAGCCGGCTGGCATATTTATTTTTCTGTCAGCCTGCCTTTGCCTCAACAAGGCGCTCTTTTATGCAGGCGTAGGTTGACAAGTCCCGCCCCTTTGATAAGTCCCGCCCCTCAGAAGTGTTCATCCGTCAGACTTTCATCCGTGGTTTCAAATGTTTTTCGTGATGAAGCTGGTTTTGTGGTCTTGGAGCTCATCTTTGTTAATCATTAAAATATACTTTGCTAAAACAGCTCTGATGAGTGGAGCCGACTCTGTAGTGACCACCAGAGGGCGACTCCTCTGGTCCTAGAGACGTCCATTAGAAAACAGCTCTACTTCTCTGTAGTGACCACCAGAGGGCGACTCCTTTGCTCCCATAGACGTCCATTAGAAAACAGCTCTACTTCTCTGTAGTGACCACCAGAGGGCGACTCCTTTGCTCCCGTAGACGTCCATTAGAAAACAGCGCTACTTCTCTGTAGTGACCACCAGAGGGCGACTCCTTTGCTCCCATAGACGTCCATTAGAAAACAGCTCTACTTCTCTGTAGTGACCACCAGAGGGCGACTCCTTTTGTCCTGTTAGACGTCCCATGAGAAAACGACTCTCCTCTCTTGATCAAGTCCCGGTGCGTTTTTCTAACAAACAAAATGTAAATAAATTGAAAATAGATTATACATTACAGACCGATCCATTGAACAGGGTTATCAAAGAGAACATATGTTTTACATATTTTCTGCTGTATATTGGCGGGGACAGATTGATATTTTGTCAATATTGGGGGGGACACGACCTCCCCCAAAGAATGCGTGGTTACGCCCTTGCTCAGTAAACATTGTAGTTTATGGTTTAGTTTCAAGTCTTCTTCAACAAATGTTTTTGGCATCATGTTCAGTTAAGAACTGATGGTTTTAAGAAATCTGTTATTAGATTAACAGGATCTGGAGTGTTCGTCTACTAAGAATTGAGTTTCTCAAAGATGTAATCAATGGGAACCTGTTTACTAAAAAATCAATGGAGCTAATATCAGCAGATTGCTCAATTATAAATCTATAACCTATGAACCCTGAAGAACACCACCCAAATCTTTCCCTCCTCTCACGTCCAGCCCTCCAGAACGGTCGCTCCCAGTTTGTGATCAACGGTAATTGGAAGATCAACATCCCGGGCGAGTACAGCGTTGCCGGGACAAAGCTGCTGTACCGGCGCTCGGCGGACACCTGGGAGAGCTTTGAGGTACCAGGACCGACCCAGGAAGACCTTCATCTAATGGTGAGGGCTCCAAGATACTGGAGCGCAGGGCTTGACGTTGGCACCCGCCCACCCGCCAAATGCGGGTAGATTTCGACGGTGGCGGAGAAAGCAGTTTTATTTTTGGGATTGTTTTGGGTGTGAGGTGTAAGAAAACCTGGAAGACACAAAAGAGAAAAACAGTGATGATGAAACCTACAATTGTGAGAAGACAAAGAAAAAGAAAAGACTGTTCAATGAAAAGTGGAGGTGCAGTCGAGAATGGCTGATTTAAGAAAATAATGTAATGTACTGATTGTAGGACGTACGACAGTGAGAGGTTAGGTAGTTGGGACGAGCTATTTCACGGTGGAAACAAGAAAGCAACGGAACAAAATACCCCGTCACCACTTATACGCAATGAGCTGCTCGCATATCAGTAGCATATGTTTTCATTTTGTATATATTTCTAAACATTTTATGTAGTCTTGATTTGGGGTGTTTACAATGGTCATTTACATTTGAAAGGACTTTAAATCTAATTCTTCAGTTAATTGTAGCAAACGATAGTCATCCATCCATCCCATCTTCAAACACTTATCCCGAAATCGTCTTGAAGCCACTTAATCCTCCATCCCTCCTCCTTTAACCCACTTAGGCATCATATCTGATATCTTCAAACACTTATACC